CTCCTCCTCCTCCTCCTCCTCCTCCTCCTCCTCCTCCTCCTCCTCGACACAGCCCTGCGCAACGATAGTCTCGCTGCACACCTTTGAGTACTTGGGTGGCGCTTCCCCTTTGATGTGGGGCCATTACCACTTGCGCCACCATGCACTCACGTTCACCCCTCGGGTGAAACGACAAAAACTCCGACGAGTTAAGTGCGGGAGGAGCCAGACTCTCCAGCGCGAACCAAGAGGCCCGAGCGGAGTGGCTCCACAAGCTGGTGCCACTCCTTATTCACAGAGAACCGCGCAGGAGCGCGGCCCAGGTTCGACAACACCCTCGCTCCCCACGACCGCGGCGGCGGCGGCCCCACAAGCTGGTGCCACTCCTTATTCACAGAGAACCGCGCAGGAGCGCGGCCCAGGTTCGACAACACCCTCGCTCCCCACGACCGCGGCGGCGGCGGCCCAGCACAGCTGGTGGAGAGCGAGGCCGAGACCAGAGTCCCCCCACACCCACACACGACACACACCACACACCACATCCGCCCAGCCACCCCGCCCACCTGAAACGGGTGCATGATATGCTGCCTGCCAGGTGCCGTAGCCGCGCGCGTGCACGCAAGGTCAGCGCGCGAAAGCACATGCGGCACAACGGCAGGCGGCGGCAGCACGACGAGGGGCGGCTGGCGGGGTCCGCGCGCCCGCGCCGTCCTTTCCTTGTCGGAGACGTGCACAGCGTCGAGGTCGGCCATGATGGGCCCAATCTTGGCGACCCAGGCGGCAAGACGCGAGAGAACCTTGGCTTTGGTCTGATGCGCCTGCCGCACAGGCCAGGGCACTCTCGATCTGTCAGCCTGCCATCGGGCCCAATCATCAGCAAGCTTGTTACCTTCAAATTCAAAGGGGGAGATCTCGCCTCGCTGGAGGCTAGCACGCGTGCAGTGCGCCTTGACTTTGCGCACTTGCACATGCTCGAGGCCCCCCCATTCATCTATCTGCAGCCACACCTGAACCCAGACTTCAGCCCAGGCGCTGTGGCTGCTGCAACAGTACTTGCGCCCACGCACATACAACCCATCGTGCACAAACGCGCTGTCAGTGTACATGATGGTGCCAGGGGTACAATGCTGCAAGGCTCGCATCAAAGCTACAAGCTCGGCAGCATCAATGTCGGCACAGGCTATTGCAAGCGTGCCGCAGTAAACCGAAAGGGTCCTGAACGGATACTCAGGCTGCACAGCAACCAGGGCCCAGGCACGGGCCTGGAAAGCCCAGGGAGGTCCTGATCCATCCAGGATCCGTCCAGAAAGACATGCCCCCCCATATCGGTAGGCCCTCCCGCAAACCACCTGGCGGGAGGCTCGAGGGAGGGAGGAGGAGCAGCAGCAGGGCAGGGGAGCCTCTCAGCAAGGAGGCGAGGAAGGGCGGAAGTGGATGCTTGCACCAACCTTGGCAGAAACTCGGGAGGCTCCTGGTGGGGAAAAAACTCCTCGTGCCTGCCGCACGCGCCATGTCTGTGCACCAAAGTCCCTGGAGCATCCTGACAGGCTAGGCACGTGGGCTGAGAAACCATCGAGCACTCCCATTGCCTGTGCTGTGGCCACTGACCACCCAGCAATCACGGACCGAAGGTAGCCTTTCTCTTGAGGCGACAGCTTCTTCGAACGTAAAAGCGAGAGGATGGGGTCAAGGTTGCATCCATTGGCCAGCTCAGGCACACCTTCACGCTCAGCAACTTTGGCCCACAACCAGTCTTGGATCACCCGACATAGCCAGGTGCGGACAGTGCGTGGTGACTGCTCACGCACACTAATCGCACCAGCTTTGGGGTGGACCCAGTCAAAACCATCCATGGAAAAACCCAGGCGTTTCGCAGTGGCCGCGCAGGCCGAGAAGGGGCCTCGGACGGCGGCCCACGGATTCCCATGGTCCCTGAAAAGCTGCCAGGCCTCCTGAAGGCCTTGCTCCAAAACGCGCCTGGGCAGAAGCTCATCCCAGACGGCAGTGGCAAAGGCCAGAAGCGGATCCAGCTGCAACTGAAAGGCAGGATCGTTGGAGGGCTTATCGGACAGCATCAAAAGTAACGTGACACTTTTTCCCGCGAGGCGATTGCTCTGCACATGCGCCTGCAACGACCGAGCCTCGCGCAGCAAAGTTGAGTTCGTGCCGCGCACGCTGCCCCCATACTTGACGGAGGCCATTACAGCGGACTGAATCATGTAGTGAACTCTGCGCTTTGCGATGTGCTTGCCAAAGCTCACGAGCTTCCGAGCCCGAGCACGTGCTGGACCCCTGCGCTCGTGGCGCGTGGCTTGAGACCTCACACGCGCGGCAGCAAAATCGATCCCAAGGTTACGCTCATGGCTGACACCTTTGACCTTGTAGCGGGCCAGCCTGCGCACCAGGGAGGCACGCACAGAAATCGACGAGCCAACGACCTTAGACTTACGGCGGGCGACAGGAAGATGGACGGCCTCGAGTTCATGATGCAGCAGACGCGTGGCACCCGATAATTCTGCAACGACATCACACTCTCGGCCTGCCTGATGCAGACCGAAGTCGTCTACAACGACACCCATTCGCACATGCCTATATCGATCCGCAACCTTGTCTACAGGACCGAGGAGAATCATCTGCAACATAAGCGTGGCGAAGTGGCAGCCAGGCAGCACCGCCTGTAGCGTGCACACAGGTTCGGACACAGCGTTATCCAAACTCAAAACTCGCGGAAGGCGATATAGTTCAACAAGAAGCTTTAGCTGGCGGAGCGGAAACCCCGACTCCGACGCAGCCCTGACCAGCTCACTGTGTCTAGTGTGCTCGAAGGCCTTCTGAAGGTCCAACAGCACTAGGGCGCTGCACATGTCACGCGAGTGTGCCCATTCGGACGAGGCGGCTTGCACCCATACCAGCTTGTCGCTGCTGCGACCCGAGGTGGCCCACCAGTATGGGCGCGCGTGTGCAGCCTGCCACTGAGAGACCAATGACTTACGAAGCCTACCCTGCACGCGTGCCAAAATATGGATGAGGGCAATAGGGCGCAGCCCTCCATCACGTTTGGCAAGGAAGACAACTTTGGTCCAGATAGTGGGCCACGAGCACGAGCTTTCAACATCGGCCAAAATGTCCAG